ACAGTGAAGGGGGCTCCAAGTCGACGTAAAACGTTTGACCGACGTACATATTGGATAACAGTTTTTGAAACAAATTGTGGCTTGGTTTTTTGGTTTCCACATTTTCAGTTATTGAAATGGCTTTGAATGGCAAATCTGTTTCTCTTTGCATGCTGTTTCTTTTGAATGTTATTGCCTTCTTAGAAGGTGAAAGCAATAAAAAATGTTTTTAAATAAAAAGTAAACTGCTAACTAACAATTAAAGGTACGGATCAATTGATTAAAAAGAATATTGATCAATGTTCAGCTGCGTGCATTTGATCAAATGACAAGTGTGCGTTTTAGTCAAATGTCAATAAACGGTTAGATTTAATGAAACATAACTGTCCTTGACAAAACTTTATTTGCATAATTCAACTAAAAAAGTTGGTGGTTTGAAGTGAGCCCGTACAACAGTGAGGTAACCATTTTGAAGACACTGTACAACAACGATGATGTAAACGAGCTGGGCAAATGGGCAAAAATGTTCAGTTGGTAGAACTGCTCAAAGAAAGAGGCGTCTATGTCTTTGCAGGGCACTTGAAAACGATTCATCGAGTGCAGGCTACACGACTCCGGTTGCGACTCTGTCAAGCCGTTCAAGTAAAGAACATTATCAATCATCGGCGTTGTGGTGGCCAGTGCGCAACAAAACAGCGGCAACTGTGACGAATGATTGCGTTTTTGAGGTGGTGACGGTAGTTGTGACTTTGGTGGTATCCAATCTTCAGCCCGTTTCCATCCACAGCACTGGGCAGACTGGTGCCATTCAAAGCTAACGGTGAAGTTGCACTCCGTTTTGCCACTGTCTGAAGTGGTGCACTTTGGCATGTCACCGGCAGCAGTTCTAGATGTGATAAAGTACATGTCTGAAAGAATGACCTCTTGGAACAGATTTGCACCAGTGATTTGTTGGTGAAGTAGCAAAGAAAACGAAAGGGCTACAGAGAGTAGACTCAACTTTGGGTAGAAAAACCATCCTCGATTACTGGTGGTAGTGGAAAAGAACAGCCCAATAGATGCCAGCAATCTGGTCACCTGAACGAGCAGTCTGGTGATGTAGTAGAGATGAATCATCGACTCACTAAAAACTTCTTTTTGAGTTTGCTTGTGCTTTCTGACACGCATCAGCAGAGCTGAGAGGTAGTACTTGAAAGCTGCTTCCGGTGCAAAGACCAACTCAAGAAATGCCGTCGTAAATATGGTGATACCTAAGGCAAGAAGAAAGATCCGGAAAATAACTGGAAGCAGACTTTTGATAGTAGCATTCATCTTGGTGTTTAGTTATAAAAGCAAATGATCGTTCAAGTGGTTTAAAGCTAAAACCATCATTGTTATTTGTGAAATTCTTTTTGAAATCAGTATGAAAACCAATTGTTTTTCTATTTGGAAATCATTGTCAAAATGCCACGCAGTCTTCCCTCTATTCAGCTGACGTTTGAGGACAAGCAAAGACTGGCAGAGAAAGGCTACCAAATTGGAAAGGCAATCAATTCTGGCGAGTACGGTGTGGTGTACGTGGCCACTCGAAAACATTCCTCAACAGCCACTTCCAATGAGGACACCTCTGCAGACACCATTCCTTCTTCCACTGATGATGCCGACACTGAAACAAAAGTGGTGAAATGTGCTGCGAAAGTGATCAACATGGCAGGGAAAATGGAGCAGAAGGACCTCCAACGAGAGATTTTCATGCTGAATCGCATCAAACACAAGCACGTTATTGAGGTTTTTGACATGTTTCGAGTGGCGCCCGCCCAGTTAATCATCCTGATGGAATTTGCAGAAGGTGGCGATCTGTGTGATTTGCTAGCAGACAATCGTGCCTGGTTGGAGGAGTACAGAGTGTCCACTTTGTACCGTCAGTTTGGAGGAGCTCTGGCCTTTATTCACTTGCTTGGTTTTGCTCATCGTGATATTAAGCTAGAAAACGTTCTTCTTGTAGACAAAGCTAGGACGATTAGCAAGCTAACAGATTTTGGTGAGAGAAAAACTGAATGTGTTAAATGAAAAAACTTTTATTTTTGAACTTTTCAGGTTTTGCACGAGACTGCTACTCTCCAGAAACCGGCCTTCGAGTAATGTCCAGCACCTGGTGCGGCACAGTCGGTATGTAGAATCGTTTTAATTTTCTCTTTTCACAACTTTCTACCGTTTTTCAGATTACATGCCACCGGAAATTCTTATTCGTAACGTGAAGTGTCAATCGGGCAGTAATCAGGAAGGCCAGCATTCACATGAAAAGGTGAGATATTGCTCAATGACTACCAGAAAAAACTCATACAAACATGACCGTCCCAAACAGCAAAAGATTTTCTATGATCCTGCAAAAGCAGACGTTTTTTCAATTGGAGTGCTTCTTTTTCTCCTCCTAAATGACGACTTTCCATTTCTTGGCAATGGTCGCGAAGCGGAGATGGTAGAGCTGCAACGCGATCGCAACTACACCTTCTACAATGATCACCTCTCCGGAGGTGCTCAGGAGGTGCTGCACCTTCACTTGGAGCCAGACCCTCAAAAGCGACCTACTATGGATCGAATTCTAGCGCACCCGTGGTTTGACGAACGGTGCTGGGCCGATGTCAATGACTAATGTCTTTCTTTTGAAGATTAAAAAGGGGCAAATTAAATGTAATCAGCTGCTTTTGCTGGTAAAGCCACTGGTGTTTAAAATAATGACAAAAAGTTGTCACAAAGCATAAAAAGTATTTAAAGACACAAAGCGGTCTCAGTCGGTGGCACTAGTGGTGACGGCAGCCACCACTTCAATATCGCCGTATGCATCAATAATGACCACCTTGTCCAGATCGGCGGCATTTCGGATGTTCACAATTGACTTGCTGCCCGCGAGGAACGGCTCAAAGTCGGCATGCTTAAAGCCATACGGACAGTCGTACGACTCGGGGCAAATGTACAGCAGTGAGTCGTGGTACTGTTGCACCGGACGAGAGATTGTGCTTTTGATGCTGCGGCCAACTGAGGCGATGTGCTTAGTGGAAACGGATTTCTCAAATCCAGGTTTCTGCTTCACCTGCAAAGAGGAAGACGGACTTTCCGACACTCGGCCAGCCGCCTTTTTTGACGAACTAGTCCCAGCATCCACCTGGCTAAAAGCAGAAACGTCATTGATGGAGCGAGCCAGCAGTTTGTTACCGGCTCCGTCAATGTCACTCTTCTCCGAAAGGACGTTGGTCGATGAAACCTGAGTGCGACTCTTCTTCACCTTCACCTTCACCACGGAGACGCCACGCTGAACTTTGATCTGTCGCTTCACCTTGAAACGATTTGAGTTTGAGCGATCAAGGGCCTGACTGCTATCTAGCTCGCTGGCGCTCGATGACACGGCCACCACCTTCTCATCTGACTTGATGTAGTAGCTTGACTTGACGGGCGATGACAGCCCAGAAGTGGCCGATTTCACACGTCGACTCTTTGACTTTGATTTCACTGAAAGGCGTCTTATCACCTTGCCTGAAAGTAAAAAGTTGTTAGAGTGGATCTGGCAAAAGGCAAAAAGAGTACTCACTTTTCACCTTCCTTTTCACTTTACAGCGACTGCTTGAAGACTTGCTCGATTTGTCTGACTTGCTAGAATCGCCATCAACGACCATTTTTTGCTACTGAAATTTAATACAGCTGGCAAAGTACACGAAACAGATGAAATGAGTGAGTCAGCAGTTGAACAGTCTTTTTATTAGTAAAAATGAAAATGTTTAAGAATAAAGTTCGAAATGTTTGCCTCAGATAACTCCATATGAACGCCTACTCATGCTTCTTCCCAACATTTATTTCGCGTATCGAGTCTTTGTCTTTTTCTCTGTCCAAGTTTCAACTAGTCAACTCATTTGCCAACTTTCATCGTTCTTAAGTCACCGAAAATGCATCTGCTTAAAAGCAAAAACCCTGTGTTGGTGATGATAAAGCTCTACAGTATCGTAGTGCTCATGCTTTTTGCTTGTGTTTTTTTATTTGGTAGTGGCTTTGGTACAGTGGCCGCTGACAAAACCACGAATGCTGTATCAAGCACCCTTAAGCCTAGTAGCACCAGCGGTGGAACCACACCCGCCACTACCCCCGGAAAAAAGGTTCCAGTGGACAATGACACCCTGAGGAAGATCATCGACAAGTGCAACAAGGAAGCGAACGATGTCCTTGGCGACCGTGACACCAACACTACCGCCCTGACCTGCTGCGTTGACCTCTTCATCAGTGACTGCGTGACAAAGAACTGCAGCGGGTGTTCAGAGATTCAGAAGAAAAAGGCGGTCGACGTGAAGGGCAACTGTGAGATGAAGGAAATCACACTGACTCTGGCCCAGTGCAAGGCTTTGCCCGTCAAGGTCAATCTGCCGCTGATTATTGGCTGTAGCGTTGCCGGCGTTGTCATCATCATTCTCATCATTGCCATTGTCGTCGTCTGCTACAAAAAGTTCTACAGCTCGGGAAAACCGGCCAAAGGTGAGGAGGTGAAGTTCAAGCTGGGCAAACACATCAACCTCGGGTCAGAGGTCAGTGAGGTTGAAGTGATTGACAACGCGTCCACTGCTCCGGCCTCCTCTGTGGCTGGCGGCGTGTCGGGCGTCTCTGCCGTTGGCTCCAAAGCTCCCTCAGTGGCAGGCAGCAAAAGCAAGCTCAAGGGTGAAAAGGGAAAAGACGCTGGCGGTGGCTCGAAAGACAAGCACAAGAAGCATGCCTCATCGGCTAAAGGCGGCAAGGCGACCTCGGCTCATGGCGCCTCCAAGGAGAAGATGGGCGGCAAGGGCAAGCCCAACAAGGGCAAATAGCCATGGCCGACGTTTCCGAAGTTTGAGGCTACTTGAAGTGATGAGATGCCTCTTCACCTTCATTGCCAATTCACTGGAGACTTGATGTTTGGGCACACACATTCACCCAGCACACCTTCATTTATTTTTTATTTGTAGAAATAATACAACTTACAATTTTTAAATGTATTACATGTTTTCCTGTGCTTTCTATCCTGGCTAAGCTCCCAAACCAAGCGTCACTAGAAGATCATTAATGGCTTTCAAGTTGGCCTCATTTTCCTCATAATGTTTTATGCTGAACTTTGATGAACTGTTCAGATAGTACCGCAGGTCATCGATAATGCCAATGGTGTCTGTTTCTTGACGTTCTCTTACTTCCTACAAAGTAAAACATGCATAAAAATTAGGGAAATTCATTTTAAAAGCACAAGTCTTTCACTTACTAGAGCATCGGATACAACGAGTTTATGAAATTCTTCGTTAGAAATGTACTGTTGAAGGTTGTTGGCTATGTGCTGGGTGGCGGTCTTCTCAAGTTTAGGCAAATTCAGCTCGCGGGCCAGTTTAATTATATCAATGACATTCAACTGATCAATGTGCTCACCAATAAAATTGGCACAAAACTTCTTTAAAGAGTTTATCAGGTAAACGTCTGCCTGCATTAGCAAATCAAAAGCACTTTCGAGGGAGAGCTACACAACAAAAAACTAATGAGATACTGAAGGCACACAAACACTACTCCTTTTTACCGCAGTGTTGTTGGTATAGATGTAGCAGAGTAAAGCTTCAAACGCTTCAGCAGAAATATCACCAAGTTCAAGGACACTTTTATTGTCTACCATTTCTCTTCGTGAATCGAAGAAGTAATCTTCAAAATATGCGCGGAAAAACTCACTTTGCATTGAGAAGAAAACTTTGTGACAATGAAAGAAGAAACTACCGTTGTTTACTTTGAAAACAACATCACAAAACAGATGGCTAGAGGAGATTGAACTGTCGAGTTGGTGAAGTGAGCTCTCTGATGCTTCCTGGGCTCTCATTCCGTCAGGCAGAGAGCGGGCGTAAAGACGGTGGAAGTCGCCACTGACCGGACACTCAATCATGATCTGCTTCAACTTGTGTCTTGCCTTTCCAGTAAACTGAAGGTAAAAATTGTCCACCATTTCGATCACAGCATTTAATTTGCACTGTTGCAGCAACTTTATTATGTCACTTTTTAACTGCTTGTTAAATTCTAAGATGCCAGTGTACAAGTAGTACAGGATGGCTGAGAATGCTTTGGAATTTACCTATGATTTTAAATCAAATTTGAATTAATGTTTGTATTAGTAAAAAACGCTTACCAGTTTTTGACTCAATGTGATTAAACTTAAATCTTTCCATTTTCCATGAAACATCTCTTCAAAGTATTGACAGCGAGCTGAAAGTATACACTTATGCGCAGAAAATTTCTCGCTATCAATGATGAAAGTTACATCAGCATGATGGCCACTTTCGACAGCTCTGAATAAAAATAGTAAAAAGTAAATATTCTGTACGGTTTTGGCCATTCATCAATCGTACTTTCTCAAGAACTCATCATAATCACGTCGTTGAACCAGTCTCCTGCTGATTACCTGATACTCTTGTACTAAAATATTTCTAATTTCATTTGTCAGAGCACCATACACACATCGCTCGCCTTCATAAGTGTTTGCATCACATTTTGCACCTGGTTAAAGAATATAAAAAGTTCAAACCCGGTGTTTCGGCAAAGCATTACACTCATTACCATTAGCCAACAGGAACCGAACAAGTTCCGTGTGACCGCACAGGGCAGCGTAGTATAGTGGCGAAGAATCCCATAAGTCCTTTGCATTCAAATCAATGCCCTTCTTGTCGACAAGATCCCTTTGAGGACGAGAGGGTGCAAGTTACGTAAACATTTGGCTAGAAATAATGCCGTGCAGAGGGTGTCAGTAAAATGAGCTCACCTTACCAAGTCAATATCACCTGTCCTACAGGCGCGGAATAATTTAAGGTGATCCATGGTTCACTTTGGTATGCCTAAATCAGAGGAAATCTGTGCCAAAATCTTATAAACAAACACCAAGAAAGTGTGGCAAATATTGTCACGCTGGCAGACCGTACAAAAGCTACAAGTTGTAGCTGATACAACATAGCAGCAGCAGCAGCAGCAATCACAAATGCCGCTGATCAGCTGTGTTTGTGTGTCCGCACAGCAGTTTTGCCAGCACTGACTCTGGATAGTGCTAGTGGCACACAGTGCTGATGTCGGTGGTGTTGGTGGTGTCTGCGGTGTCTGTGTGTTTGTTGGCCAAGTGTAGTGTTGTGCTGCCTTTGCTGAAGACGATTGCCTGAAGATCACATGCTAAGCACACAAGTACAGGTTGAATCCACTGGGGAGAATCGTCGTCGTCGTCGGTTCAGTTTTTGGCACCCGAAAACACACTGCAGCCAGCTCATTCCGCAAAGAAGTTCAGCTCATCCTCTACTGAGAACCTCGACACTGCTGCAGACGGCGATTCCGAAAGCGTGCCATCTCCAGACGTACTTTGCCTTTTGCAGGTCTTCATGTACTTTCCACAACCCGTGTTGTGATATCTCGCCCCTCGATATACAAAGTACACTTCGTACAACGCTGCAGCACTGAGGATTGAGATCATCAAGATTTCGGCGAGGTATATCCTCTGTCGCCCAGGGTAACAACACTCGGTCTCTTCGAAGCGGTGGTTTATTTTTTCTCAAGAGCCGACAAACACACGCACAGGCACCAAAGTACTGGTCGCATCGTCAACACTTTTCCTGCCACTTTCCTCTTCACTGCCCTTGTCTACACTAAACACCACTCTCAGTGTCTTCTTCAAACAGCAAACTAGCAAGGACATTAATTAGATTGATTGGCACAAACAACCCCACAAAGCAGCACAATCGATCGAAAGGGGAATCTGAGCACTCACAGATCTCTGCTCATCAAATGTCGGTGAGTGCGGCAAGCAGTCTGTTTACATTTTTACTTACTCTTTACCGAAACCACAGACTGAACCAATTTCCAGTTCAGAACGACTCATCACGTCGCTGTTTGCAGGCGCTATTGCGGGCGCGATAGCAAAGACAACTATCGCGCCCCTTGACCGAACGAAAATCAACTTCCAAACACAAAATGCACAGTTTTCCTTTCGCGAAGCCTCGTACTTTCTGGCAAAGACGTACCGCCAGAATGGGTTCACCAGTCTTTGGCGCGGCAACTCAGCCACCATGGCGAGAATCATTCCATATGCTGCAATCCAATACTCAAGTCATGAACAATTCAAACACCTCCTTCGCGTGGAGACCAATGCTCAAAAGTATTTTGCCCTTTTCACTAACAAGTACCGCTTGTACTCACCCAATTATCGTTGCTTTTGCAGGAAAGCCAAGCCACACCGGTCGTTTGTTGCCGGCTCACTTGCTGGAGTTGTCTCCACGATGGCCACCTATCCACTAGACCTGGCAAGGGCACGAATGGCGGTCTCCCACCACGACAAATACCATAATTTATTGGAGGTGTTTATTAAAACGATTCGCGAAGAAGGTGCCTTTTCCTTATACCGTGGGCTTGTTCCTACCGTTCTCGGTGTGATACCATATGCTGGCAGCAGCTTCTTTACCTATGAAACGTTGAAAAGATTGCACTATGGTAAGATCAACAACCTTTGACCATTATTTGCGCATTTGACTAAAGACGGTGTGTTTTTGCAGATTATTATGGCCTGAATGAACCGCATCCGACACTAAGATTCTGTTTCGGAGCAGTTGCAGGTTTAATCGGCCAGTCAGCGTCGTACCCGCTGGACATTGTGCGACGAAGGATGCAGACGCACAGGGGCTACACTGAAATTGGAATTTTAGGCACAATGAAGAAGGTGGTCCTCGAAGAGGGCTTCATCCACGGCCTCTACAAGGGCCTCAGTCTGAACTGGGTGAAGGGGCCCATTGCAGTGGGCATCAGCTTCACCTCCTTTGACATAATTAGCAACTTTCTGCGAACGGTCGTCTACCAGCCTTTTGTGAGCAGTTCGAGTCACCCTCAGCGATAGCACCACGACAATCTTGTGCAGCAGCCAATGTGAATGACATGACTAGTCAAGCTCAAGTAACCAGCGCGCAAGCGGACTCATCATCCACTGTGAAGCATCTCGTCTTCGTACACAGCCGAATGCTTATCACACATGCTCCAATTTGCAATGCTCTCACCCTCCTCTTCCTATCAACAACATTTTTGCGACGGCTGACTGTGAAGTGTGCCAATATCGTTAAATCTTCCGTTTCTCTGCTCTCTTTTCACTGGACTTTTGGCGCAGAACTTGTTCTGCTCTGCCCAATCGATCAGTGCTCGGCTGCCACAAACTGCACTCACGGCGACGACAATGACGACGACGACCATCACTACCACCCTTTCCTTTTTCTTCAATCATTGCAAATTGACAAACTGTTACAACCTTGTTGTTGAGATGTGTACATTGGCAGGAGTTGCTTTACCTAGTTCAAGTTTTATCTCATTGTTTTATTTTTCTTTTCTTATATTGCATTAAAAATGTTGATCATTGAGTGGCCAAAAGTGACAGAGTGATTCACCCAAGGACGAGGACGATCTACGGCCTCGTGACAGCAGCAGCTGTCTGGTGCAGCAGTGCTTGGGGGTGATAGAAAGACGACGACGTCGACCTGTGGACAATCTCGAAGTGCTGCTGCACTGTCTCTGCCTTCCTTCTGCACTGGGTAGCATCATGTACAGGCGCACATCATTTCTCCTTTTTGCGCTCTCTCTCTCTCTCTCTCTCTCTCTCTCTCCATCCTCTTCTCATTAGGCCGGGTGGCGTGAGTCCAAGTGACAGCCCGGAGAGCGGAGTATCACTGTCTGATCGATAAACAATCAGGGGAAACTGAATAGTGTGTGGCGCCTTGATGAAGGTATCACCTCGGACGGTGGCCAATTACAGACGAGCTAGCTGGCCTTTTCCCTCTGGCGCTCAGTTTCTCTTTCAGTGGCACTCTCAGTCGCCTTCAGTCTGCCTGCTTGTGTGGCAGCAGCCGATTGTCTTCTCTACTGCTTTGTCTTTCGAGCGGCAGTCTTCTTCACTCAAGCCGAGATCGTCTTCAACCACCGACCAGAGCAGTACAGCTCCAGCAGCAGCAGGGCACTCTTTGACAAGCAATGGCCAGCGGCACCAGTCACCTAATGACACAGCGACAGTCCAGCGTCTTCGATGAGCTGGTGCAGATTGATGAGTTTTTCGCACAGCTGCAGAAGCCTAGCAATTTGGACTCGATCCGCACCAAAGCCGGCGAGTTTTGCAAGAGAAATGAACACCTCAAGATTGCCCTGATAACGGTAAGCCAATAAGTTTAATTAGAACTGTATCTGATTAATATGAACTTCCTTTGAATCCGTAGTCTGGCGGCACGACGGTGCCAATGGAGCTAAACACAGTACGGTTTGTTGACAACTTTAGTGCCGGCACAAGAGGATCCGCTTCCACAGAGTATGTTAACAATTCGGTGTTTGGAAGTTTTTGCTTGCTAAAAACTGCAATCAACAATGCAGGTACCTGCTGCAAACGGGCCAATATGCGGTCATCTTTCTGTACCGTAGCAAGTCACTTGAGCCCTACTCTCGGCACTTTTCACCCGACGAGTTGCTCAATCAGCTGCAATGGGAGCCAGAGACGGACGACATTACAGGTATGCAGAAGTGCAAGTGCTGCTATGTTTAGTACATTGACCAACACGTTTGCTCAATTTTCCTTCACAGTTTCCTCGTCGTTTAAGCCTAAATTAAGAGAGATCCTTAAGCATAAGAAGGAAACAGAAGATCGATTGCTAAAGATAACATTCACTACACTTTCCGAGTACTTGTTTACTCTGCGCGAGTTGACCTTAGTGCTGAATGAATTTGGCTCCAACACTATGCTCTACTTGGCGGCGGCTGTTTCGGATTTCTATATTCCACCCGAAAATATGGTGAGCTAGAACGAGCGACCATTGATCTTGTTTCTAACAATCTCGTTTTTAGGCAATACACAAAATACAATCAAGTGAACCTTTGAGGTTGCACTTTGAACTGGTGCCCAAAGTATTGCGACCTTTGGTCAAGTTTTGGGTTCCTGATGCTTTTGTAATCTCATTCAAGGTATTGGTGTGACTTAATAATTATAACTGTGCTGATCTATTGATTTTCTATTTGTAGCTTGAAACCGACGAAAACATTTTACTGTCAAAGGCGCGTAAAGCTCTGACCAAGTATGGCCACAAATTGGTGATTGCCAATGAGCTGAATACCCGGAAGGACAAAGTGACTCTGGTGACAGAGACAGATTCAGAAGTGATCAAAGTTGACAGCCAGTTGAACAATGTAGAGATTGAAAAGTTTATTGTGGAGAATGTCGTTCAGCGGCATCAGGATTTTATAACGCAAGTCGAAGCAGAGACATCGACTCATTGACTGCCTGTTGTACACTAGTATAGACTTTTAATTAAGTTTTGATATGGGAAGTTTATTTTATAAATTGCAATAATTTCTTTAAATTTTATTTTTTAATAACATTGCTGTGGTTTTCGCTGACTAACTCGTTCTAACTTTTAGCAGTTAGAACACGTAATCCTTTTTCTGCACAATATAAGGAGTCATCATTTTCCTAGTGCCTACTCATTTCTCCGTGTGATTTGCAAGCAATCTCTCTCGTTTACCCCTTCATCCAACTTTCTTTCAAAAGCAAATTTTCCTTGCAATACCTTCTCAAGCAATGTCTCACTCTAAGAAGGAGAAGATATGCACCAAGTGCAAGTCGGCTGCCTACGACATTTTCAAGAAGAGCACTCATCGCGAAAAGGCCGCTTCCGAGGTGGAGGAGGAAGCTTTGGAGAAGGATGGCGACGATTCCGAGCTGCTGGAGAAGCCACGTCGCTTCATGACTCCCTACATCGCCTTCGTGAATTCCTCCTGGGCCGAGTACTGCGCCGCCAACCCTGACTCGCAGATGGACAGCGCCAGCTTCAAGGAGTTCGTCCGCAACTGCGCCGGCAAGTGGAAGGAGATGGCCGAGGAGGAGAAGGCCCCCTTTGAAGAGCAGTCGGCCGCGGAGAAGGCCGCCTACCAGGAGCTGATGGTGGCCTACGTGACACAGCAGCTGGAGCTGCAGGGAGAGGACGCCTTCTCAAAGCAGAGCCCGCCAAGCGACTACGTGATGTTCGTCGTTGAGGAGCGAGAGAAGGTTCGCCAGGAGCTGGGCCCAGAGACGAACATGGTGGAGCTGGGCAAAGAGCTGGGTCGCCGCTGGACTGCCCTACCGTCGGAGCTGAAGGAGGCGTACAAAGGGAAGGCCAGTGAGGCTCGCGAGGAGTACACTGACCTCAGTGACTACTCCGACGCGGAGGGCGTGAGCTCGGAGTGCGGAGCTGAAAGTGACGACGTGAGTGACTTCACTGGCACCTCGTCCTTTTACTCCTTTTATTCCTCCTCCGGCGAGGGCAGCTACTCCTACAGCGATGATGACGATGACTACTGAGTCATCATCTATAAACTTCACTGCTCGTCTTCCCTTTGGGACATCTTTAAAGCGAGCATTTTAATTTCAAATTTCATTTTAATTTTATTCTTATTGATTAAACCCCATCCCCTACTCTGGGTAAAACAAATAGTTTGGAGGGAACGATCTTAGTCATCATTAAAAAGTTTAATAAGTTACAGTGTGTACAAGTTTGCTCAACAGTGCTTTTTAAGAACGGCGGTAAAGGGGAAGTGGAATTTGGCTTTCATCCCAATCGTAAAAGTCCTCATCAGCGTAAATGCCCAGATACGTGAGCACGTCGCGCATAAGGCCTAGCAGCTTTCGGTAGGGAGGACGTTGGCTGAACTCACACTTGCGCACCAGTCGGAGGTACTCGGCAAACTGACGTGGCATATCGATGCACAGCTCTTCGGGCGCAAGCTTTTCTTTAAACTGACCTGCAGAGTGTGGGGATAAAACAGAGCTGATCAACAACTTCTACAAAAAGCAAAAGCTAACCTTGGGCAATTTGCTTTTGAAAGACATTGGTAATCTCTTGTCCATGTCCATCCCAAGGTAGCTCCTTCTTAACAAAGTACACCGCCTGGTACAGCAACGCCTCAAGGTCGTCTCGACGTGAGATTTCGCGACCCTGCTGATTGTTGGCACTGGCAAAGCGCATCGTCCCGGCCAGTGGTTTCCCCTCAATGTACGGAATGTGTTCATTGTTTTCGTTGACGTAGTGTTTGGCACAGCCCAGATCTGGGTTGGGGAAGAAAAAGAAGAATGAAGGGATTATCACTCTGAGCATCACTGCCTCTCTTTCTACCAATGAGATGCACTTTGCACCAGCGAGGGGAGTTAGCAAATCCAAATAGAAAGTTGTCCGGCTTGACGTCCCGGTAGAGAATCTTACAGTCGTGGACGTACTCCATGATGACAGTGAGCTGCATCAGTAGCTGCGCCGAGGTGGCGATGGAGAAGCCTTCGCACCTCTGGTACATTGCCTTCAGTGAAGGCCCCAACAGCTCGATGACCAGTGCTGACCACTCATTGTTGACTGAGTCAAAGTAGTACAGTTTGGGAATGCTTGCGGGAACGTTTCTTGCCGAGTTGAGTATTTTGTAGAAGTTGAACTCCAGATTCAGTTGGGGTCGCTCTGCGTCGGCTTTTTCAAACTTGATGGCCACCTTTTTCCTCTCTATCGTGTCGTAACCGTGGTGAAAAGCGCCAAATGCTCCTGTAAGTGATGGATCGTTGATAAGGCTAACAAATCAACAAGGATGACCACTGACCGTGAGCAATTCGTTTGTCAATTCGATAGCGTCCATTCTTTAAAAAGCAACCTTCCAGAACTTCAGTCTGAAGATCAGCCATGTCAAAACAAAAGTGATCAACCTGACAAAAATATGACACTAACAATGGTATGCAACGTGTACAAAAAGGTTTACCGAAAAACCATTGTCAACGTTCAACAATACAGCAGAACCTCTTGAAATCGCAACTTTATACTACTCGCGCCATACGTTTACTCCCCTGTTTAGTTTTGTGTACATTTATTTCAACTATCATCGTCATCAATGGGATACTACATCATCCTCCAGTGTACATGTTTGGTTATACTGATAAGCACCATCACCACAAGTACCGTCGCACCGACACATGCACACTCCGATGGGCACTCTGTGGTAAACCGTTCAATTTAGTGCCAATCAAATAGTGACTCAACCCTTTTCCTCCTTCTTCTATTTGTAGAGCACCAACTCGTTCAGCAGCAACAGTAGTGCTAGTACTACCAATAGCAGTGCCACCCATCAACTCCTTCTCTACGTGGTGGTCATCGGCTTGATCCTGGTGGCCCTCTTTTCACTTCTCCTCGTTGCTTTCACTTGTTTGTTGTGCTTCAAACCACCGGTCAGCGAGACGATAGCCGTCACAAATGACCCAATGATGAAGGTGATGGCCGCCGCTCAGACTACAGCCACCACTGTCACTGCCAGCAGTGCTCGAGAAGATGCACAGCAGCAGCAGAAGGTGAGGGCCGTCAAGACAAAGGTGATGATGGCAAAGACGCCGACTGGAAAAGGAAAAGGCGGAGGCCCGCTCAAGGAGGCATCTTCTTCTTCTGCAGCTGCTGTGTCCAAGCAGGCTGCAGTCGCCCGCAAGAGCAGCAGTAGAATGTCAAAGCACAAACGAGGCAAAGCAATGCCCGCTGATATGGGTGGCAAACAGCGGCAGTTGAACAAGCTGAAAGCCAAGTCAACGCAAATGGGAAGCAGGAAGAAAAGGCGAGGCTAAAAAAGGTGTTCTTTGTAATGGTTTTATTCTTTTTTTGCTGCTGATAGTCTGTAGTAGCAATATCAAACTGTCCTGATTTATTTGTTTTTATGTTGCTTTGAATTCTTTAACTCTAGGTGGCCTGCCGCTTTGAATTACGTTAACCTGTTCTTCGTTGCGCATCTTTAATTTCACCAGTGAGAATGCGTCCATTCTGCTTTAGTTTACATAATACGTTCGCGTTAAGAAATGAATGAAGCTAAAAAAGCAGATCAAGGACAATGCCGAGCTGCTGTAGAAAAAGAGAGAGTAGGATGACATAGAATCTTTTCCTGGTCGTCTCAATTGATTGTGCCTATTCTACCTCGGAAATGTAGTGCTCACTTCTCAATGCCAGCAACAGTTCGGAGCAGCTGCAGGCATTGCTTCCTCACCGACTGGTGTAAAGCTAAACAAGAGCAGATTTATTTATAACTCGATACATCATATTGTAGAATATTCCGTGCTTCATCTTCGGGCTTTACATAATAATACCAGAGCGCACTGAACACGCACACACAATCGCTTGTGCTTTTCAAAGACTGCACCACATGTCTACATTGGTGGGCTAAACTGGTTCACTGAGTCAAGTGTTGAGCCTCACCGATGAGCTGGCAGAAGTCGGGCAACACTACTACCACCAGATCAGCTCTTGGCTCGGTTTTTAGTGAAAGAATTTCTTCCACGCCGGCAGCAACTCATTCAGGCTCTCATTCCTTGAGCACTGAACGCGCTACTCACTACTGCATTAGACGCACTTGCTGCGTCAGTCACTCAGTCAGTTTGTGTGTGTGTGCGCGCTTGTACTCTTCTGCATTAGTGTCACCACTTTAGTGCTCAAAATCATTCCAGTAATGGTTGAAGCTGATCTTTGAATCTACCGACACAGTGAGAAACAACATTTTCAAACATACCCTCAACTGTCCAACGAGAAAAAGCATTTTTGCAAAAACGCACTCGCACTCTGCGTTGCTGCAGTCGATTGTAATTTCTGGTTACCTACTCTTGGCTTCCACCGGAATTCGGTTAGTGCTGGCTTGTGAAATATTTGTACTTTGCTGCAACAACTCGACACTACGATGTTGGCTGCAACTTCTATTTCAAGCCAACATTTGTGAAGTCATCTATTTGCTACTTATTTACCACCGCGTGACACATTACCACTTATCCAGCGAAGAACTTCAGTTTCCATCACTTGCACCTTAGTGTCAATTGATTATCAATCGTCCTTTACAGATTCTCATAAATTTGCACAATTTTAATTTTAAAANATTGGCTGGAGCGAACGTCACTGCCACGCGCGAAGCGCGTGGCAGTGTTAGTGAGTGAAAGCCTTTGAGCGGGTTCACAGTGTTTTGCAAATTTTCTTGTGGTAGCTATATCTCAGAAGTGGCTGATTCAATTGCCATCAAACCAAATACATTATGAAAGCTAAAGAGTTGTAGATTAGCCCATTTCTTTCAGAATTGAAAAACTCCCAGCCGTTTAAAAGTTATGGCCTTTTAAAGTCCAGCGAAAGATTTTCCAGAAGAAAAGCAGCGTCACCCAAACAGGGGGGTCTTGTAACCGCATCTACTTTTTTGTTACTGATCCGATTTTCCCCAAACTTTGCACAATAACAGATTAGGGTTGTGTGGTGTGCCGCATTCAATAAGATTGAAAATCTACAAAGTACTTTTGGAGCTAGGCCCTTTCAAAGTTGACTTTAATGTGCGCCTGCGCACAAATGCACTGTGAAAGGTAGCGCTACTCTGAGCAGTGCTGTGAGCAGCTGGGGAAAGCGCGCAGCTGTGGCAGCCTGCCAGTGGCGTTAGGGAAGGGTAGGGTAGGGGTAGGTGTGTGTGGGGGGGTGTAGGGGTTAGGGTAGGGTGTGGGTGGGTGTAGGCGTTAGGGTAGAGTGTGTGTGGGGATGTAGGGGTAGGGGTAGGTGTGTGTGGGTGTGTAGGGTTAGGGTAGGTGTAGGTGTGTGTGTGGNTTTAAAATAAAACCGTGTTTCAGGTAAGCAACTTGAAGTTTTAAATATTTAAAATGATTAAAATTCACATAAAAAATGCAGAAAATGGCCAAACCCACCAAACAAAATGGACATGCTCCACCAGGCTCAGTCAACATGTTCCCCGCAATGCCCCTTTCTGAAATTCAACCAGAAATGGTGGCATACGGTCCAAACGGGGCAATGGTGACAATCGACTACGAAGCAAGCTCCAAGACGATGATTGCCAAATTGAAAGAGGCACAGCTCTTGGAGTTTCCCCGTATTGTTTTTTGCAGTAAGCACAATTAAATTCCCTTTTTATTTTTACATGTTTTTAAATTTTTATCTTTATAGCGCATGGCATGTGGGGAAACAGCCGTTCAAAGTGGATGCATGATCTGAAGAGCAGGTTTCTCGACGAATCAGACCAGACATTTATCATTGTGGGCTGGGGAAAAGGTGCCGAGTTGGCTGCTTACAAATACGCCCAAGCTGCCTCCAATGTGGAACCAATGGGAAAATGGCTGGGCAATCACATCCTCGAGATGAAACGCAAAATTGGAAACAAGTGCAAACTCTGGGGAATCGGAGAAGGCCTCGGGGCACACATGATCGGCTTGGCAGGAAGACTGTCACACGCCTTTACCAGAATAACCGCCCTCGACCCTGCTGGTCCTGCTTTTGAGTTGGTCAATGAAGATGCGATGCTCAAACCAACTGATTCCCCATTTGTCGACGTCATACACACTGACTCTCACCACGAGTATCGATCTTCTGAAATGTTCTCCCTCATCAACAAGTACGGCACCTTGAAACCTCTGGGTAGGTGAAGCATTGTTTCTTCATTTCAGCCATTATATAACTTGTAATCTCCTCTCTAGGCACTCTTGATTTTTATGTGAACTACGGGTACAACCAACCCAACGCTGCCGATTTTACCAATGCAGGATCGCATCTGAGAGCAATTGAGCTGTTCGCGTGGAGCATTGAAAATCCCGGCGAACTTCGCAGTCAGTTTGTCCTGAATGGCACTCCTGAAGTGGACAAGCCAATACATAAGACTAAGCGAGTGGTCATGCCCGCAGAGATGGGTTACCATGCCGACAGCAAGTGCACAGGCAACTACTACATGGAAACCAACGGGGAAGAGCCTTGGAAAGAAGGCTTTTAAGTTTTGTTGATATCCCATATTACTTTCTTTAAAACTTTATTATTTGTTACGTTTGTTTTTTACTATTGTTTGTTATCAATTTTGGTTATTACACTCACTGACTCAAGGTTTTTAATAGCGATTTTATGCCCAAGTTTGACTGCAAGTTTATGTCTTTTTATTTGCCACATATAAATATTGATTTGCCATTTAAAAAATACATTTAAAGAATAAAAATGTTTTTAAAACAAGTCTTCATAAACACGTCCACCTCAGGGCAAGTTCAGAGCCTTCTTTTCGCATGCCTGAAAGAAACAACAAGTGTCATCGGTTTTGAATGATCACCGATATCTTGGAGATTAAACTTACAATGAACTGCTCCACTCTCTTATCCGCCTCTGGAGGCGGTCCAGTGTCCTTGCCACCGCCACCTGGTGCTGCATTGGAACCAGGAGGTTGAAACTTGGGAAGCTGACGATGCAAACAGTGGCCAAACTTTTTGCTGCACATCAGGTACACCAACTCAAGGTGACTCTTATCAACTTCGAAGGTAATGTCTTTGTCACCCTCTGCCAAGCAGTCCTGTACAACACTTTTTACTTCTGCTGTCTGTGTCAAAAATGACGTCAATTGAGAGAGTCCACAGAAATGAGTTACCTGTGCACTTACCTTTGCAGTCATGTCTTTGAAAGAAGCTTTAAACTGCTCCATGCACTGAACCATTGAAGTCAACTGTGCTTTGGTCGCCTTACCAGCACACACTGTCTCTCGTACAGGCTTGTACTGCTCAGCAAACTTCTCAAACTTACCATTCACTGGCAGGGACAGTCCACCGGATATCATGAAAGCAGCCACCAGTATAGGAACAAAAGACATTGTAACTTGTACACTGCAGTATTGCTGCTTCATTTCAATAAGGGAATTTCGCACATTTAAATGAATTGTGCAGAGCTTTATATTAGCTTTTGCAAGGTGCGTCTAGCCTACTTTCAAATTGTACATCAAATCTCTGTCGTCTGTCAAAATAAGGGAAACCTTGAGTCAATTCATTAACGCCATATTTACCCAATAGCCTGATCAAACAGTGACACAAAGTGACGTTTTTGTATAATATTTGTATTTAAATTCTCGCTAATTAACACTTAATTATAAGAGACAGTGTTCATTTTCCACTATATTTTGTTTAGTAAAAAGCACTAAAATATGAAATAAAACCCAAGAAAACCCATAAAAATACATGTTCTTAACTGTTGTGAAAATAAACTTAAGATTTCCACAGGACGCTAACTTTAAAACAAAATCAGATTGCTATCATCAAGTTTCTGTTGCACAGTTTTCTATTTTCTGTACAAACTTGCCATTATTTACTCAGCTGTCTGTCATCTATATTACAGGAATTAGTATGCCATTCTCAAAAGCGTTCGCTTCATCAAGAAATACCTTTACTCTATTAATGTCATAATTTAATATTTTCAATATTAAAAAAACTTAAATTTTCATTTAATTTGATGCGAAATAAGTTAAAAATATTTAGATCAAATGATTTCAAATGTATATTTAAAAAAGGTTATAAATACAAAATAATTAGTGTTAAATAGGCAGCTAAATGATACTTGCTATACAAAGTTATGTACAGTGAATATTAAAATGAACATTTGAAATTAGTGTGATACCATATTAGAAGCGTGTACCCTCCACAAGCCGCCACAAAAGCACTTTTTGTTCCATTGTAGCTCCCAGGCGCGTACTGCAAAAGAGCGCAGCGGTGTTTTGCGAAGCGAAACAGAGTTGCACCGAGTGCAGCTTCTAATATTGCTAGAAGTGTCGTCAATGTTTCCCAAAACAATGTACCGTACAATGTCCACTTTGCGATTGCCGTTAATGTTGATTGCGCCGTCAATGATGTGAACTTTTACATTATATCGCGTAAAAGACGGCTCAGTGCCGTAGTCAAAAATGAGCGGCGTTGTGTTTATGTACAAAATGGGACTCGCGACGCCAATGGACTTTGGACACAAGTCCATCTGGGGAATGTTTACCTGATTTGGCAATAGACAGCACTCATCGACGAGACTTTCGTCAAACTTTTCCGAATTTGAAGCCACAATCTTGGAAAGAAGCTTGAAAATCAAAGCAATCACATCAAGATTTTCTTGAAGCTTTTGGATACTGGGCAGACATGTGGAGTTGATCAATCCCCAAAAGCGAATAATGACGAGGAGCTCTCTGAGGGTATTTAGAGATTTCTGGTCAAAGATAAGGCCAACCTAGAGAAAAGTTACTCTTGTTAGATATGAACATTATTTAAACTTTCAAAATACTTACCCCAGGTATTCGACTTTGATTTGGATGAAACAGCTGAGGAATTGACGCAAGAATGTTGAGAGACAGGTCAGTAACCCACTGAAGCAGTTGCTTGAATGAATGCTGGTAAATGCCTTCCACGTAAAAGTCTTTGCTATCCAACTTTAAGAGTATTTTGTCAATACTTTGCAGCTGAACATCAACCGGTTTAATTTGAATCAAGTTGCTCAGTTTTTCCGATGGCCCTTCGTTTTCGAGAAACTCTCTAGCCCGGATCAGTCTCTTTACCGTTTCAGAGATGGAGTTGAGCATTTTGATGGTGTAGTAATCACCCGTTTTGCTTACATTGGTGTTGACACATCGGTGAAGTGCTGCCTTCAGCTCAAGTACACTGTCAAGCCACTTTTGTTGCATTGGCAGACTCTGACGTGTGATAAAGGCTTCAGTTATTTTGTCGCATAGTGTGTCGACAAATGTTGGCTTTATGCTGATTAGAATGTCCCAGTAGTCATTGCCGGACATTAAACTGTACTCCAGCATCAACTGAGCATAATTGAGGCTAATCGAAGCACATGGCTCGGTGATGGGTGAAAGGCGGAAAAGGTGAATTTGTGAGCACGAGTCAACGGCTACCATAGAACAGGTGCTCCAACTCAACTGAAGAGAACGAAGAATGGATAGCTTTGAAGTCAAGGCGAGACTACGACTCGGAGATGTATTATCAAGGTGGCCATTGTATACTGCAGTTTTCTTAGTCAGCAGGGCTTTAGCCAAGTTCAAGCTGGATAGCATTTGCAAGTTTTCTCTGTAAAAGCACATGACAGTGTTGTCCTGGAAAGCGACGATAATGTAAGACAGTGCCTGCGCGGTATCAAAGATACAAGAGCGAGGTGTGGTGATGGCTGACACCTGTGAAGTTGTGGCCGTGCTGGTGCTAAACTTCCAGCCCACAGTGGCGCATGGCTTCACATCGATCGTCTTATTTTGTTGCTGTAGCAAGTTAGTGATGCAATTGTGGAGTATGACCGGCTTCTCACAGAGTTCCCACAGTTCAATAAATGATCCAGATTTTCCAGATGCAGATACCACAATTGCGTCAGGAGTTTCTTTGACGATAAACTTTAAATGCGTTATTGTCGGATAAGTGTCATTTGCAGATGAAAATGAAGAGGTGTTGCATTTGAGAAGAAAACTCGCAAACTGTTGACAATTCAAGTTCACTTTAGGCTGCTTTTCTTGACAGCAATCAACGGTCACATTAACAGTGTAGCAAGTCAGTGGGACTTTGGCATTTCCGTTTGAAGTTACGATAAGAAAGCTTCCATTTTTCATGTAACCTATATCGACTTTCTCAATTCTTGCGCGAATTTTGCCGAGAAAGTCAAATCCGGTGATTATTTTACTGTCAGAGTAGAACAAGTGAGCGAACACAAAGCCGGAACTGGTGATGCAGAGATATCCATCGGTGTGCTTTTTACCGAGTTGATGTACTGATGGCGTGATTTTGGTATAACTAAACTTTTCCTGAAGTGATACATTTGAATCTTTTTTCTCGTAGTTGATCATCCATCGGTGTCCTTTGTGAAACCAGGCACCTGCCAGAATACTGTCTCCTGAGAAGCACTTGGAGTAGATCAGCTGCCATTCGCTAATCAGAAAGTCGCACATTGACCAAACTTGAATGTTTCCCACTTTATCACCCACAAGCAACTTGGTGCCTTTTTCATCCCACTCCAGAACTGTGACATTCTCAGAAAGAGTTGCGACCCTGCAAAAAAATTTGCTCAGTAAAACATTAGTCAATTCTGCCGGGTGCTTACAAGTTTGGAAAGTACGGCAAGTTCAGGTCGATGACGTATACAAAAACGCCCAACTGGCATTCGTCTGGCACCAGGAGATCAACGTTGGAAGAGAATGCAAGCACATTGTTGTTTGATAAAGATGAGACGACATTTGCATCGCTGAAATAAAAAAAGATGGTCAATAAATGCGTGATGAACGATCAAAACATCTGTGTTGTTATTTCACCTGTTGTCGAGAAATGATTTGGCGTGTTGCAATGGCTCATTTTTGAACACTGAATAGATGTGCTCCATTATGGTACGCCGATTTTGTGTGTGTTGGTCTTCAGTTTTTGAAACACCTAAATCAAGTCTCCAAGATTTGATAAACAAAAAAACAATTTTTTCCCGTCAAAAACCTGACCAGCGTGAGAATAGCCAGAGAAAAACGGCGCTCAAACAGTCACTGGTGTGGCAATAGCGCTCAAAAGGCTCTCCGTATTTTCTGGTTACGACACTTGTATTGTTGACGAATCACTTATAAATAAACCAGCGATGTACGTCTGCACTTGGCAACTTCACGACAATTTACTTGCAAGTGTCTTCAAGAAAAGCACGCCAATCATCTGCAGTTGATCTTTTGGGGTCGCCTGAACGGAGAGGAGAGAGAGAGCACCTTTCTCTCAGTTGAGTGCGCCTCTCTGATGATCTACTTGTCACCCTTCAGTCACCCAACTCATTTTTTGCCTTTTTACATTTTGTAAATAAAAACTTACATCACCTTCATCAATCATCATGGGAAATATCTTCTCCTTTTTCAAGGTACTATTAATTTTCATTCAAAATCTGTTGTTTATCTTATCTCTTTTGTAAACAGTCGCCTAAAGGAGCAAAGGAACAACTGGAACGCTTGCAAAATGAAATTGACAAAATAGAGGAGCACCGTATATCAGCTGTAGTCAAGGAACGAAGCTGTAACTTTGCTCTCATTGTTTCATCTGTGATTGTATATGTCATCGGTCTCATATACTTATACTTTGATTACAACCACAGTAAAAGTATCACCTACAAAGGTTTTGCGCTCTCTTTCCTCATTCTCATTCCACTCATGTAAGTACTGTAAATATTTATTTTGATGTGAAATATAACACTTTTCCTCCATTTTACAGAGTGTACTATGCAAGAAGTTTAGTTGGGTGGTACTACAAATGGGTTAGAGAGACAAATGATTTAAATTATAGAGCTCTGCTCAAAATGAAGAAAAAAATCATCTCAAAGGTTCAAGAAACGGAAACGTTTAATGACGCAAAGATGATACTCGAAAAGTTTGATCCAAGCGCATTAAGGGAGATGAGCCGGTCGTTTACCAATCTTTCAAACATTGGAAGTGATTTTCAGACTCCCAGTTTCGCCGTACAGAATCGACGTTCTTTTCGCACTGCCTCACAACCCACGCCCAGGCCACAAATCATGCCTAACCCATCATTTGTTCAGCAACAGACGAATCGGCCAATGTTGGCAATCTTACCTGCAAATGCTCAACCACAGTTCAATAATACTCCTTTGCGGCCTCTTCAAAAGACAGTCAAACCCATTTTACCTCAAAATAGAAGTGTCGTCGAGAAAGCAGTCGACTACATGTTTGGCGACGGTCCTTCAAATCGGTTTGCGCTCATTTGTTCACGCTGCAACTCTCACAATGGCATGGCGTTGCCGGCTGAATTTGAGTACATAAGCTACATCTGTGCCTACTGTGGCTTCTACAACCCAGCACGAAAAGTGAGACCAGTCGCAGCTAAAATGGAGGATTATAACACCACCAAAACATTTGAAGGTCCTCACGTTGAGGAGGCTTCTGACGACACAGTGGCAGGACCCAAGATCACTGAGATCTCCTCGGAGATGAACAAATCTGTGAGTTGTTGTCGATTCTGTTACACCATTTTAATGTTTATTTTTCTGCCATTTAAACAGGTAGAAGCAAATGTCAGTGAACAAAATGCAACTACTACTGAAAGACCTGAACCAATTGAAAAAGAACTCGAAGAGACTAAGCATCATGAAGAAAACACGGAATCTGTGTTGCAAGATAGCGACCCGATTCTGTTTGCTGACGAAGACGAGACACAAACTAGATCAGAGAATCCCAACACATAACTACTTGCTGAGGTTTTTTGTTTTTGGGAAAAGGGAAATCCACTTTGAGCTGATGGCGTTATAGTAAATACAGCTGGAAAATTAAAGAAATGATTTTATATTTAACATGATTTAGGGTTTAAAAGATAAAAAGTTGGGTAGAGTTATGTACAATATAAAGCGATCAGCACAAGCAATATAAAACAGTAGTATAAAATGCGTGAAGAGCAAAGGACATCGCCACAACCAGGATTACCAGTGTCACCAATCACAGACCGCAGAGATGCGAGAAGGTGAATATGTGAAGCACGGGGATTGGCATTCACAGTGGTCATTGGAGGTGTCCAGTGCATCTCCACGGCATTTTATTTCACATTCACTTCCACCGCCTTAGTGACTGGCAATGGAGATGCCGGGCAGTTTGCCGCCTGCTCCCGAGAGGATGATGTTGTGGCTGGGATAGGGGGAGTGGTCGTCCAGGAGGTCCATTTGCAGTTTGGCCTTCTTCGACAGTTGATCACTATCCAACTTGCACAGGCTCATGGCGATCATGTGATTTTCCATAGAGCTCACTTCAGTTCGCAGCAGTTCTTTCTGGTTTTGAAGCTTTTCATTTGTTTCCAGTTGACTTTTATATTCCTTTTCCAGATAGACCAGCTCGTTTTTAATGCGCATCCGGCTTCGAGCTGCCGATTCGCGATTCTTCAATCGGCGGATGCTCAGTTTCTTTGATGGCTCTTCTGGAGAGTCCTGTTGGTCCTCCGTTCCGGAATCACTCGAAGAACTTGATCCCTGGCTGCTGCTTGCTCCCAGGGAGAGATCATCATAGTAAATAGAGTTATCCTCGCAAGGTTGAAGTGAATCGTCGCTTGAGTATTCCTCTTTGGAGCGGTAGGACGCCATGCTTCGCAGAATCATTGGTTTTGTTCAGTTTCTAAAAAGTTGGTTGAAGAAAAGATGCTTGTTGCTTTATTCACTACCAAAATTAACCTAAAAGGCTAACTCGAAATTGAGATAAAGCAGGAGCATGTGCGATCAATGCGTTAGAAGACAAATCATCCACAGTCACTTACACGTGTGCCTGACGAGGACAACGTGGCTGCAGATCGAGTATGCGGCACAAGTGGAAGTCAGTTGAGAACGAGCGGGAACAAATTTTTCTCGACACAATGCATTTCTTTCTGATAAGATCAAGCCCTACTGATAAGAATGAAGCCGCTCTTCAAACAGAACACTTTTTGCGCCCAGAGGAGGAGATATGCAGCAAAGTTTCGAAATGGCCATTGCCACTTGGAGGACGACAGTGTGAGAATGGTCGAGGGCGCCCTCATACCACCTGCTCTCTTTGCTTCTTGTTATGAATGGGTAATGCCGGCGGTTGTTTTCGATCACCATCCTCTGAAAAATGGTCCTGTTACCTGGGTTCTTGATAAAACACACGAGAAAAGTTTCTACTGTAACTGAGTTATATTTCCTGAAATGGTAAACAGAATCCTGAAAATCAACTGAAGGCGCCTAAATGAGACAGCAGGGCAACGAGAGTACAACTTAAAGATTTGCCTGCGGTCACCTTCAGTGCTTGAAGCGTCCATCGCTCACCTCTAATATTTGCACATATTCTCAACTTTGCCATTTGTACTCCCTCTCTCTCACCATTTCTCTCTTTCTCTAGCTGTCACATTCTTTGCCTGACCATGCACCGTCGTCTGAGCTAGCATTCCAATTCTTGCTCGTCTCTTCGTTGCTGGAGCATTTCACTGCCACCAACGTTCACAGCCTGAGCCAAAAGACCGAGGCTGCTGCTGCTGATGTAGTGTCTGAAGGAAAACCGAGCAAAGACGCGCTCAAGTTGAGGCTTCAACAGCAAGAACAGCAGCGGCGGCAGCGGCAGTGGCAGTGGCAGTACGACGGTCGGTGTCGGTGGTAATCCATCATTTATAGGCAGTCAAAGGAAGGAGACAGGCAGACAGTGGAGCGAGTGAGCAGGCAGGTGCTGTTCGCAGTAGGCCGCCGGACCGTCAAAGTGCTGCTGCTGCTGCTGTCACATAGTCTCCGTCAAATGGATGTCCGTGTCGTCGGCAAAGGCGATCGCATCACTCGCTCCCATTTTGGCTGCTGCTGCTGCTGTCGATGCCCAGAGAACGCCAGCCAGCCATCCAAGTAGAGAGGATTCGCCTCGCACCGCTGGGCCAGCACCGCCATTGCCAGCACCGTCGACACTGATAGTGCGACCAGCATGAGCATCTCAGCCTTCCCCTGCCTGGATCCCTTTCAACATGTTTCAACACGAGCACCAGCGATGAGGACCTGTGCTCCCCGTGCCTCAGTGACCGATGCATTCTTCTTTGCGGCGAATGAAACTTTTTGCCTGGCAGTAGTAGTACCCTGCAATATTATCCGCTGATATAACCATTACTCGGCGAGTATTAAGCGGAAAGAGGCATCGCTAAGCTCATCGTCCTCTTCGATATTGCCGAGAGAGCTTGCTAGCGGTACAGCCTGCCAAGAGCATATTGGTCGCCGGGAAGGACGATGATGACGGCAGCGAAGACCGAAGCCGACTAGGCGAATCAATTTCGCCACTGTGAACGTGTCAGCTCGTATTGAAAGCATTCGCCTTGATCTCTCTATTTGCATATTGCCGCAGACTGTGAAGAGAAGAAGGGGAAAAGTCGGTGAAGAGAAGAATCGATTTCACTGGCTGCTGCTGGTAATGCTGGTGCTGCACTGCTTCAAATTGAGTCGATTGTCTCAATTGACAAGCGCCAGTCAATTTTAAGCCTATCATCTTGTGAAAGGTGTCAAGCAGGCTCGTGTGCACCGAATGCCAAACGGGTTCATTACGAGCTACCAGACTAGAGGGGGCTCATAACTAATATAATGAATGCGTCAGCTTCCATTGAGCTGCCAGGCAGATGAGCACATTTGACGGCGACTGTTGACCGAGATTGCTGCCACCAAGTTGGAGAACCCACCGGGCTGATAGAGATCACCATTGCTGATTGCTTCATTACACTGTCCGGTGGTGGTGGTGGTTGGTTGTTGGCTTGCCGGGTGTCATCTCATCACAACTCATCTTTCTGGGCCCGGTGTTCAAATAAACATTTTCAGTTGATTTGACATATTGACAGTCAGTGCTATCTCTGTGTGGGCTGGTGAGTGCAGTGTCAGTGAGCGCACAATTGAAACGAGCTGACAAATTTGGCAGTCAAGAGAGTGACTACTCAACAAAGTCGCCGGTGACAATTGCTCTGACCAACAGCAGCAGCAGCAGCCTGAGCGGCCATTCATAATTGGCTTAGTTGGTGGTGCACGGGCAAGAGAAGAGTAAAGTTGCTCTTGACCGTCATTGGAGTGCCACTTTATTAGAGCACACTCAGTGTGTGTGCAGTACAATGAGCACACTCTCCTCGTCCTAATTAGCATATAATCTCTGTCTAATCCTAGTCTTACGCACGTTTGGGAATCAGTCTATTTTCAATATAATTTAAATCTCATTACGATAATTAGCAGTCACCGTTAGCAGCAGCAGTTGACAGAATAGCGCTCGCCCACCTCGCTCATTCGCCGGTCATTGCTGACCAAACAGTGAGCAGCGAGCTGGGCACTGCAGCATTATGTAATGGCATAATTATTTCGCTCCTCACACTGCCTGCTTCGAGTCGCTTCTCAGTGCTGCTCTCAGTATTTGTTTTGATTCGGTGACAGTGATGAATGAGATCAGTCTTCGCTGCCGTCCACTGGCTCACTGGCCATTACTGCACCAGTCGTATACTTTGCCTCGTTCTCTTCATGCTACACTTTGGTCGCCACATAATTGCCCGCACCGGTTGCTTCGGTGCTCTCTCTCTCTCTCCCTTTGATGGAGATCAGAAAGAGAGCTGCTGCTGCTGCTGCTGCTTCTGCTACCACGGTCGTTTAGGCAAATGACCAACTGTCTTTTTAATTGCCAACTGCGGATAACTCAAGCTACTTTAGGGTACGCTGAACAGCAGAAAGGCATTAGCACAAAGATGCGTCAGTCTCGACGTCAGTCGATGAAGTATCTAATATTTATAAATTAATAAATGGAATAAATGGACAACGTGTCGGTGTGCCGTCATTGTCGCTTTCGGGCAGGCAGGCAGGCAAACACTTTTTTTCTCGTCACCGGATTCACTGTCACACCGCAGAGTGCATTTCCCATTTTTCCTCGTTCCTGAAACAGTGTTTCAGTAGCTTTCGCGCTCTTTCCCTAAGTGGCATGAATTATTCAGCACCTTAAAAGCATATTTGGATGCGCTCACAGGAAAGCAAAAGAGAAAACTGCAGGCAAGATGTTTGCAGCGATTGACTGAAAATGGGCACAGAATCGATGTTTGATAAAGAAAGTGCCTAATGGCGGTCGACCGTAAAGCGGGAGGCTTCTTTGTTTGCGGCTAGGTACTCGCCCTGGCACAATAAAAGAAGTGCACTGCAACTTCTACGTCAGCAAAGTGTGTAGTGCAGTGTCATGTCAGTCGGCTGCGACCATTGATCGCAAGTGACAGTGCGCCGCCGTCGGCCAGTGTGTCCCCGTTCAGGGCAGATGGTGTTGCCTGCCTGGCGCAGTTGGCCACAGTGCACTGCATTCAGTGGAGAATAGAAGTTCTCCTTCCAAGTGGATGCAAATTGATATATAATTTTGTATTTCTTTGAGTATAATATACTGAAAAGCAGTTTCGGTAGTCTGCAGTCACCGGCGAGCCTGCGCTACACGTACGTAGACGGCAACGTAGCTACCGTCAGCCGTACTTGCCAGTTGTGGCACGTACTCGTCACTGGGCCGATGTGCCACAGGCCCTCGTTAAAATTCATTTCTGGTTTGCTGGTACGTAATCTCTGGTTTTGTTTGCTTAGCCGCACACACAGACACGGGCTAATTCGAAACTGCAAATTGGCACTGTACCATCACAGTGTCCAGCGTACTCACTTTCTTCTTTTTCCTAGCTCGTTTCAATTAGCGAACATACTAGAGGATATCCACGAAAGGCCTGGTACTG